CACTGCTGTGGCCTCTCCCGTTGCGGAGCACAGGCTCTGGACGCGCAGGCTCAGCGGCCATGGCTCACGGGCCCAGCCGCTCTGCGGCATGTGGGATCTTCCCGGACCGGGGCACGAACCCGCGTCCCCTGCATCGGCAGGCAGACTCTCAACCACTGCGCTACCAGGGAAGCCCCACCAGCCACTTTTTAATGCTCCAGGAGTCCAGCCCCACTGGCCTCAGTCCTGGGAGGAAAACCACAGGTTTTCACTTTTTCCACGTGGTGAGAGGGGCCAGGACTTCTGAGAGAGACACCGTGAAGCTCTGATGCAGCCCCCTCAGGCCCTCCTGGGTCTCCCAGGACAGGGATTTTCCGGAGAAGGAGAGGAAAGAAGCAGGAATGAGGGAGGATGGGGCTGAGAAAGGCCTGTCTGGTCCCCACTTTGTCCCTCATTCACACAGTGTAGACACGTAGTAGGTCTTCAATAAATGTTCTATCAATGGATGAATGGAAGGATGGGAGGGAGGATGGGTGGATGGATGCATGGATAGTGAGAACTTAATCCTGAGAACACTGATATTGGAAGAAAATATGGGGTCACCATGATTCTGAGCTCAGTTATCCAAGCTACTGTCCCACCTTTTCCCTGCATCCCACTCACCTTCCCCTCATCCAGTTTTGGCCTCCATGCCCCCCAGAGATGGCAAGTTCAAGACCTGCCCATCCCACTGGACTAAAAGGAGGAATCCTTCCTTCAGAACAGCTGAAACGAGCTACCTATAGAGTCTAACCCGTCGGCCCTACTGATGCCTCTGTATCAGCCCGGAAGGAATTCCCTCCTCCTTTTCCTCCAAACGTGTAAGCCCCTGGATCCCTCTTCTTCAGAAGAATGTCCTCAGTCTCCTTATGGCAGAAGTTGTAAAGGTGCAGCCCGCAATCTAGATTCAGTTCAGAAACGTGTTTTGTTTGGTTAATAGAGTTTTCCTAAAAACAACCGAATGCATATTTAAACATTTGGGGAAATTCATACAAACTCTGCATTTCCCCCTCCATCTCATTTTGAAAAAGGAGAAAGCCTGACCACTGGCAGCCTACAGTCCCGCCTGGCAGCCCTGGGCAGAAGTGGAGTCACGGCCACCCCTCTTAGACGGAAACAAGCTGGCAGGGTCAGACGGTCCTCCCCAGGCCCTGCGGTCTCTGTGACACTGCAGTTAAACACCTGTCACCATTTGTCATCCTACTTGCACTGGTTTTTTTCTTAAAGCAGAAAACTAGTTCCTTAGATAAAATATCTACCAAAAATAGGCGATGAAAAATAACCCCTCCCCAAAAGACAAGAAAACCAGGAAGACCACGAGGTTTCACACTGTGGACACGAAGGCCCTTCCTGTGGCGCCTCCACATCAAAATAACACCTGGCACAGCTGAAGACCGGCAATAAATAATTACACGGCCTATAAATACACACATGACCTACAGGTGGCGCTAGGAGCCATAAAGAAAAAGCTGGAATGGGCCGGGTAATGAGGGGGCCATCATATTAAATGGGGTGGCAGGAAAGACCTCCCTGAGCAGGTGACCCTTGAGATGAGACTTGAATGAAGTGAGGCGGGAGCCATGCTGACATATAGGGAAGAGCATTCTTGAGCAAGGGAACAGAAACTGCAAGGGCCGTGAGTTGGGAGCATGCCTGGCCTGTTCCAGGGGCAGCAAGGAGGCTGGTGAGATGACACCAGTGGAATCAGAGTTAGAACTCTGGATGTGACTGAGTGAGGCAGGGGCCCACACAGGACAGGTTGGAATCTCACGGTCTCGGGCTACGTGAACACACACCTCTGTACCCGTGTGACTGTCATCCAACTTGCCCACTGCCTTTCTATTTCAGGGGCTGCAGATGGCGATGAAAAGGCCCAAGGAGGCAGGAGCTGCAGCCCGGGGCTCAGGCCCTGAAGACACAGGGATCCATTTACGTCTGCCCTCCCGCACTGTGCCTGCTGTTACCATGAACCTAAACGGACCCAGCTGCCACCGCGTGGCCCCCACCTCCCCCAGTGCCTCAGCTTCTCTGACTTCTTTGCCCGCACAAGGATACGGGATGGCAGGAGCTAGGAGACCTGGGAGTGCCCTGCTGTGAACTTGCTGGATGGTTTTAGCGGCCCCTCTCTGGACCTCAGTCTCCACACCATATGACAGGGTAGACCAGACCTGCATCACCCAGACCAATCACAGCCCTTGATGGTATCTGCACCACTCCAGGGTGAAATGAGAAAAAGGCGACACACCAAGGGTCGTGCTTGAGAGTGTAGGCTCTGCAGCCAGCCCTGCCAGGACCCCAACCATGGGACTCTGGGCAAATGACTTAGAATCTCCAGGCCTTAGTTATCTCATCTGTCAAATGGGGTTTGTAAAGTACCCGCTTCACAGAGTTGTTGTGAGGATTAAATGTATTAGCGCACACTGAGCCTACAAGAACACACACACGTCATAAATATTCCTGTGTGCCCATATGTGTCAGCAAATGCCTGTCCTTTATCTTCAAACTGTGTTGCTGTAATTTTTTGGAGTGGTTGAAATGTCTCGCTTGTATGAGATGCTGGTCATTAGGGATGCCATCAAAAACTACTGGCTCTCCTTCCCTCACTGCCTGTGGCCATGCTCCTCCATCCCTGCCACCACGCAGTCAAATCCACCAGCAGGTCCCACCGACCCCATCCCCCAAAGCTACCCAAATTCTTGCCATCGCCTGGTCCAGGCCACCATTCTTTCTCACCTGGGCAACTAAAACAGCCTCCTAACAGGTCCCCCTGCCTCCCTTTCATTGCCACCCACCCGAACCATGGTCTAGTCTCTGTCTGGCAGCCAAAGAGAGCTTTTAAAACTCTAAGTCTGGGCTTCCCTGGTGGCGCAGTGGTTGAGAATCTCCCTGCCAATGCAGGGGACACGGGTTCGAGCCCTGGTCTGGGAAGATCCCACATGCCGCGGAGCAACTAGGCCCGTGGGCCACAACTACTGAGCCTGCGCGTCTGGAGCCTGTGCTCCGCAACAAGAGAGGCCGCGATAGTGAGAGGCCCGCGCACGGCGATGAAGAGTGGCCCCCGCTTGCCGCAACTAGAGAAAGCTCGTGCACAGAAATGAAGACCCAACACAGCCATAAATAAATAAATAAATAAAAATAAAGGAATTCCTTTTAAAAAAAAAAAAAAACCAACTCTAAGTCCAATGGTGTCATACCCCTGCTTAAACCCCCAATGTCACTCATCTCACTTAGAATAAATTCCAAAGCCTTCCATGGCCTTGAGGCTCTGTGAGACCCGGTTTCTGCCAGTTTCTCTGACCTCATCCCCCCGCCCAACCTCCTTGGCTCATTAGGCTCCAGCCACACTGGCCCTCTCACCAAGCATCTGGGTGACCAGCAAGGCCCCTTTTCTGGCCTGTGTCTCCTTTACAGCTCACAGGCTGAGTCAGGCGACCACTCAAGAGTCCCAGATACAAAATGTCGCCTTGCAGCCTTTGCTTTGGAGCATCCCGAACTGCTTCCCCAACCACAAAGTCCTCCTGGTTCCCTTGGCCACTATTAATGGCTGGTCCAGAGTGCTGGGCTCACCTGAGCAGGAAGCTGTAGGAGAATTCGAGGAGTCCCATCTCATGCCAGCCACTGCCTGCTTCCATGGTGTCACCCAGCAGGACAGTGTGGAGGTTGGTATACATGGCTTCCGTGAGCGCCTGGAGCTCTTTGTGGAGGAGAGTCCTGGGGCAAGGAACCAAGGTGTGAGAGGGTAGCTTCCAAAAATATATATATATGCACACAGGCACCTCCTTGGCCAAACCTCAGAGTCCCAGGGCTCCAGTGCCTCAGTGGCAATGAGGGCTTTTGGAAGATTGGCTTAAACAAAATATTATTTCTATCATCATCCACAATGACGATAGTTATTATTAATTTTGCCAAGCACAATGATCTCATTTCATCTTTTGACAGCCCCAGGGATAACAGTTACTATTATGATACCCATTTTACAGATGGAGAGACTCAGGGACGGAGAGGAAAGTGATTTGCCAAGGTCACACAGCCAGTAAGTGATACAGCTGGGACTGAAACCCTGATCTGCCCAACTCCAGAGTCTGAACTTTTAAACATAATAGCCATCCCCTCTCGGGGCACATGAGCTTGGATAAGGAACCCACAGACTTGCAGAAGAGAGAGAACTAAGAAACCAGCCCTTTCTCCTTGAGATCCAAAGTTAGGGAGACCTGTTTGGATAAAGTGTCCTGGACCAAGGATTGCTAATAAACATGACTCCAAGTGAATGCTCCATGAGGAATAAGGCAATCTGGCTGGCGATCTGGTCTCGTCGTTGAGTACCTAGGAGTCTGAGGAGAGGACCAGTTCTGGGAGAGCATGTGGCTGAAGCCAGAAGCCCCTCTGTACTGAGCCCCCACAGTACAGTCAATATTGAGCCATGACTGAATGTATGATTAGAAGCCAGGAAAGATGGGATCTTCTATCTAAGTTTAAGGCCCCTCTACACTGCACAAGGATCTAAACCATAAAGGACCCCACTGCATCGAGCGAAGCGTCCATGGGGTGGTGCAGAGCCGGTGTTCAACAGCGACACCTTGTGGCAGCAACAAGACCAATGCTAGTGTGCCCATCAGGTGCTCTGGCTCTCTGTCGCCATCTGCTGTTTGGACATAGGATGGACTCCTTTAGACTGAATAAGCCCCTGGGTTCTTGGATAATTCAAGACGGGAAAGTCTCCAGAGGGGTTCCGTGAACTTCCAGGTAATAAAAGCTTTGGGATGTTTCACTGTTGGAAAAACAATAGATACGACCCATGTGAGATAATGTGTGTGAAGGGCTTAACATAGCGCTTGGCACATTGTAAGTGCTTAATACATGGGAGCTGACACAGTGATCAACCCTGCTCCAGCTGTTCCCTTGACTCCACTCCAAGCACTAGTCCTTGACAGAGACAGGAGCCCCCAATAGATGTGGCAGCCATGCCCAGAAGACCTCATGCCAGCTTTTGAGAAATGCCCAGAAACTCTCGAGGGTAGACACTGGAGGAAACTGGGATCCTCCCTGGGTAGGGGGGTAGGATGCAGTGAACTGTGGACTCTTGTTGCTAATGGAATCCCTAGAATAGCAGGACCCAGGACACTCAGGCTCAGGAATACTCCTAGCAGTTGTCCCACAAAGCCAAGGTCAGACTGAGCATTGTCTCTCATCCATGTTCACCTCATGAGGCTGGCCTTTCCTCAGCTTTAGCAGTCCTGCAAAACCCGGCTTTCTAGATGCTTTTCCTGACTCCAGGAGGTGAGTCTTCCTGGAGAGAGATCGCTAAAGATGAGTTAAGTGTTTCCCAACGTTATAATACTAGTGAAGAAAGAGGGCTCTAGCTTTGTGACTCCATTCACACAGTTAATCTATATATTTAGTCCCTACTAATTGATTATAGTTGTACTAAGTTGTGAGAATGTAAAACTGAAGAAAATATTTTCCCCATGCCCCTGTCTATTCAGAAAAAAAAAAAAAAAAAAAAAAAAGATGCCCATCAGACCGTGTGCACTCTTTAGGGGAGGATGCAGAGTCTTACTTCCTCAGTATCTCGGTGGGAGGAGAATGGGCTGTGGAGTCTGCAGACCTGGGTTCAAATCCCAGCTCTGACGCTTACTAGCAGTAGACCTTGGGTAAGTCACTTCACTTCTCTGAACCTCTGTTTCCTCATCTGTAAAATATGGATAAAAATACCTACCTCTGAAGCTGTTGCACAGATATGAACACGTGCCTATCAAACACCTGGCATTTGGCAGGTGTCTTCAGAGGGAGGTTGGCGTCATTCTGTGCTCCTGCATCTAGGATGGTGACCAGTGTATGAATGAATACAGGGTAAATGCCCTCACAGGTCCTTTTGTAAGTATTACTTATGTTTCAGGACCTGCACCACTTCCTAGCTGTGTGACCTCGGGCAAGTCACTTCTCTTCTCTGAGCCCCGTGTCCTCATCTATAAAATGGGGCTGTAAGTTACCCTCCAGCATTGCTGTGAAGACTCATGAGATCATGCATGATGCCTGGCACAGAGTATGGACTCAAAAAACATTAATCACCCCACCACCTCCCTTTATTTGACAGATGTGGAAACAGAGGCTCGGTGCGGGGGTGTGGTTTGCCCAAAGTCACAAAGCTAGGCAGTGGGAAAGCTGGGATTTGAATCTAGGTCTAGCTGACCCCAACCCTGGTCTCCTTCTACTAAAAATCATAGCTGCCTCTTGGGAAGTAAAGAGTTCTTCTTCAGCCCAATTCTCTAGGGTTGTTTCTTGTTTTGTTTTTGTTTGTTTTCACAAAACGAAATGTCTTTACTGGACACCTGTTGTGGAAGCAAGCTCAGCTCACACAGGACTTGAACTACGCGGGTAGAAGCCGATCACCCACCCTGGCCCACCCATGGGTACCATCTGCAGCCACTCACGGTTTCATCTTGGACTTTTCATCACTGGGGCTGTAATGCGGAAGCTGCACGTCGAAAATCCTCTCCATGAGGAAGACGGCGTAGGCGTGGAAGTCCAGCCTGGTGCGAGGCTCCCACACCACCATGTCATAGGAGTGTGGGTCCAGGAGGACAGTGACATACCTGCCCCCCACCAGCACCTGGGAAGTTGGCAGGGATGGAGTGAGGAGTACGACTATGAACAACAGCAGTTCTCTGAGGTCGACTTACCCTGTGACAGGCAGTGGCCCCACCAGCTACTTAACAGACAATGTCCCCTCATCTACCTCTCACAACCACCCTGTGAGGCAGGGACCATCATTCACCCATTTATAGCTGAAATGTGATAAGGCGTATCACGTGCCCAAGACCACACACCTGAGAAGTGGCAGAGCTGGGAAAGGAATTCAGCACTTTTTCTGAACCAAAGGTTATGCTCTTAACCACCTCACTTTTAAGCATCTTCCATGGTTATCTTGGTTAATGTCATATCTCCAGCAGCCAGGAGAGAGTCTGCCCACAGAAGCAGCAGATGGATGTGTGTGCATCGTAGGTGGATGGATGGATGGATGGGATGGATGGATGAATGTACAGACGGATGGATGGGAGGATGTCGGTGGATAAATGGATATATTATAGGTATGGGTGGGTGGATGGATGGATGAGTGGATAAATGGATGGAAGAAAGGAAGGAAGGATGGATGGATGTTGTTGGATAAATGCTAGTGGATGAGAAAGCAAAACCTTCTTTGGGAGGCTGAGCTCTGTATGTAACATGCTGCTCAAGACAGGAAGGAGACAGCACTGGAGAGCTATAATCCTGCAGTCAACAAGGGTGAGGGCATTTTCCCTCAAATGTGTGTGGAGGGGGTCACACAACTCCAACTACCCACTGCCTTAGCCTTGTTTTCAAAATGTGGTCTGTGAGTCATGGTAATCAAACTCTCTTATAAAATACAAGCCAATATCCAAGAAAAATGCTGTTGGGTGGATGGTTAGATGGGTGGATAAATGGAAGGATAGATCATTGAATGTATGTTGGATGGAAAGATGGATGGATGGGCAGCTAGAGGGTGCTTGTGAACTAAATGTATGAATGGATGTTGGGTACATGGATGGCAGGATGCTAAGTGGATACTGGGTAAACAGATTGAAGGGTGAATGTTGGATCCACTTCTAACCTCCAAGTTAGAAGGAGACGTGGAAGGTGGGTGGATGAGTGACGGTTGTTTGGATGTTGAAGTGGTGGATGGAGAGAGATATAAATAGATGTATATAGAGTGGACAGACATTGGATATTGAAAGGATAGATAATCAAATGCTGGGTGGTGGTGGCAGATGGATGGAAACATGGACAGATAAGCAGAAGAATGGAAGTTGGTGGAAACTGAATATATGGTTGAAAGTTGGATGGATGCTACGTCCATGAGTGGAAGAATGCTGGATAAACTGGGTAGACAGGTAGAGGAACAGATGATGGACAAGTGGATGGAGAGACAGATTTTGGATAGATATTTAGAAAGATGGACGAAGGAGTGGATAGATGGAGGTTGATGGAAATGGAATATATGAATGAATATTGGATGGATATTAAGACGGAAGAAGGCTGCTTAGATACTGGGCAGATAGGCAGAAGGACAGATGTTAGATGGATGGGTGGATGTGGGACAGATGGAAGTTGAATGAATGGATAGAGGTCGGTTAGATGAACACACCAAGTATTGGATAATATTAAATGACTGCATAGCTGCATGTTGGGAGGATGCTAGAGGGATAATGAAGGGATGAATGTTAGATAAACGTTGGATGTACAGTTGGATAGGCATATAGAAAGTTGGCTGGACCACTGGATGGTTAGTGTATGGACGGGTATTGAAGAAATCAGTAAACACCAGGTTTAATAGGCCCAGCTGCTCATCCCCTTCCCTCCCAAGAGGCAAAAGAGGCACTTACAGTAAAGATATCACCATGCTTCTCCTTCATCCTAGTGAGGAAGCTGGCGGCATCTTTTCCAAACTCCAAAGCATAGCCCAACCAGGGGATACTGCCCAGGTCCAGGGGGGGCTCGCCAGGTCGCCTGCAGAAGCCACAGCACTTATCACCATTTGATAAAGCAGGGAAGAAGATAGAGTGTGGGGCGTGGCGTGAGATTTTCAGTGGAGAGGAAGGCTTCCCTGAGGAGACATCTGACCAAAGACCTGAAGGCGGTGAGGGAGGGAGCCACATGGATATCTAAAAGAAGAGCTTCCAAGCGGAGGGAACAAGTGCAGAGGCCCCTAAGCTGGATCATGCCTGGTGTGTGCAAAGAACAGTGAGGAGGCCAGGGTGGCTGGATGTGGGAACAAGACGTGTACAGTAGAAGGTGAGGCCGGAGCAGTAACAGGGGCCAGACCATGCAGGGCCTTGCAGGCAGCTCTGAGGACTTCAGCTTTTGCTCTGAGTGAGGGGGGAGCCATCGGAGTTCGAAGCAGAGGAGGGACAGGATTTGGCTTTGGTTTTTACAAGTGGCTTTTGGCTGCTGAGTAGGGAATAGACCACAGGGGGCTGAGAGCAGAAGCTGGGGTACCAGTTGATGTTCGTACATACTGGGGGGTCCAGTTAAGGTGGTCACCTCTCTGCAGGTAGGAGAACCTTCCAGAACCCAGTGGTATTAGGATACAGAGTTCTCTGTATGAGCCAGCATGGACCAGGGTCCTGGTCATCTCACACTTCCTCTCATGCCCACCGGGAAAGGGTAAGGCTGGAGGGCATGGCTGGATAGCAGGAAGTGGTAGAAGAACTGCCCTGTCGCTGACCCCCGACTGCCCCTCTCCAGCTCAGAATCTGAGGTCTCTCAGGAGGCCAGACGCCATGCCCATGGCCTGCGGGGATGCCCCAGGGGTACAGGTAGCTCAGCCAGGGGGTAGGAAGGTTGTGTGTGACATTCAAGGTCAAAATCTCATCTGTGAGAGCAGAGGGACTCCTCTGAGGATATAATAACATATCTACACCTCACTACGGTGGATGGAATTCTAATATGACGACAATGACCTACAACTGAGTGAGGGAGATGGTACAGTTGACTTTGAGAAAGGATGCTTCTTCTTAGTGGACCTGACCTAATCAGGTGAGGACAGGGCTTACAAGGGGCAGGGATCTTCCTGGCAAAAGAGACTGAGATTTGGCGTAAGGGAGATTCTTTGCTGCTGGCTTTGAAGATGGAAGGGGCCACATGGCAAGGAATGCATGGGGCCTCTAGGGGCTATGAGTGGACCTTGGCTGACAGCAAGCAAGGAAATGGGGACCTCAGTCCCACAACCGCAAGGAGCTGAATTCAGCCAGACTCTTCCCTGGAGGTTCCTGATAGGAAGGCAGCCTGGCCAACACCTTAATTTCTGCCTTGTAAGACTCGGGACAGAGAACACAGACACACTGTACTGGGCTTCTGATCTACTGAAGTGTGAGCTAATAAATGGGTGTTGTTTTAAGCTCCCAACTATATGGTAATTTGTTACACAGCAAGAGATAACTAATATACTCAAACTGACATTGCACTTGCACTGGGCCCTGCCCTTGGCCAAGCATTTGATATATGAATGTCTCATCTCATCCTCCCCAACCACCCTCTGAGGGCGCGGCTCCATTCACACCTTCACCAAATATTAACTATGAAGCAGGCATCGTCCTGGGTGCTGGAGATACAGGAGTGAACAGGGAAGATGAGGTGGAGAGCCCTGACCCCACAGGGCTTACACACTAATAAGCGGAGACAGACAAAAACAAAGAAGCAATATCATTTCAGAGAGCGAGAAGTGTGATGAAGAAAATAAAGGAGATAAAACGTGACAATGAAAAAACAAATAACCCAATTTAACAATGCACAAAAGAATCTGAATGGACAGCTCTCCAAGGAAGATATACAAATGGCCAGTGAGCACATGAAAAGATTCTCAACATCATTAGTCATTGGGGAAATGAAAATCAAAACGACAAGCAGTACCATTTCAAATCCACTAAGATGGCCATAGTGTTTAAAAAAAAAAAAAAAGAAGAGGAAATAAGTGCTGGGAAGACTGTGGAGAAATGGGAATCCTCATGTATTTCTGGTGGGAACGTATAATGGTGCAGCTGCTCTGGAAACTAGTCTCGCAGTTTCTTGAAAGATTAAAAGAGTGACTATATGACAGCAATATACCCCAAAGAATTGAAAACATAAGTTCATACATAAACTTATACACTATTGTTCATAGTATCATTAATCATAATAGCCCCAAAGTGGAACCAACCCAAATGTCCACCGACAGATGAATGTATAAACACAATGTGGTGTATTCATATGGTGGAACATTATTCAGTCATGAAAAGGAGTGAAGTACTGATTCACGCTACAACTTGGAAGCACCTCAAAACCATCATGCTGAGTAAAAGAAGCCAGACACAAAAGGCCATATAGAGTATGATTCTATTTCTATGAATGTCCAGAGAAGGCAAATCAATGGGGACAGGAAGTAGATTCATGGTTTCCAGAGTCTGAGGGGAGGGTGGAATGGAGAGTGACCGCTCACGGGTACCAGGTTTCTTTTTGGAGTGATGAATATATTCCAGAGTTAGACAGTGGTGATGGGTGCACAGCCCTGTGGCTATACTAAAAACCACTGAATTGTATATTTTAAAAGGGTGAGTTTTATAGTATGGGAAATACATCTCATTAAAGAAAAAAGAAAGAAGGGTGATACGAGATAGTGGGGAGGCGCTAGTTTAGAGAAGGTGGTCAGGGAGGGCCTGTCCAAGGAGGTGCCATGTGAGCAGAGACTGGAAGGAAGAGCGGGGAGAAGAACCTTACAGGCAGAGGGAACAGCAAGTGCAAAGGCCCTGGGGCAAGAGTGCACTTGGTGATGTTCTCAAGACAGCAGGAGCCACTGTGGTGGGAGTGGAGGATGTGGGGGTGAAAGACTGGAAATGACCTGGGGACCAAGAAGGCCAGTGGCCGAGGACAGAGTCTGGCTTTTATTACAAGTGTGGTGGGAACCCTCTGGAGGGTAGGATTTAGGAAGTGATGTGATTTAGGAAGTGATGTGATTTAGGAAGTAGGATTTAGGAAGTGATGTGATTGTGCTTTTAAAAGGTTGCAAGAGGGAATTCCTTGGTGGTCCAGTGGTTAGGACTCCACGCTTCCACTGCAGGAGGCACAGGTTCAATCCTTGGTCGGGGAACTAAGATGCCGCAGGCTGCGCAGTGCGGCCAAAAAAATAAATAAAGGTTGCAAGAGCGAGAGGCGGGAGGGAGATGTGTCAGGAGACTAAAGCAATTACGGTGGGAGTGGAGGCTGTGATCCTCCAGGAGCCAGGCCTAGCATCCAACTCATCCACTTCCAGGTTGGGGGTTTTTGTGCCATCCCCAAAAGTCCAGGGGGGACCACCTTCCCTTCATCCTTCTTCCCCTCCCTGTCTACGTTCTTCCACCATGGCCTCCTGCCTCCTCAGTCTGACTGTCCCCCAACATAACCCAAAGCGGGGAACAGGTGGTGGACAGAGAGACTGGCTAGATTTGAGGGCCAGAATTTGGGCAATATGGAAGCAGAACCAGAGGCGAGGGTTGAGGGCATTAGGAAATGCCTCCCCCCACCCACTTCCTCCTCTCGCCCCACGCCCACCCTGCCTCTGAGCCCATGATTGAGGAGACTCGCAAAGGGGCAGCTCGGGGATTCCAAGGGGGTGCTGGGGACGTGCCAGGACCCTTCCTTTCCCCTCGCCTCTCTGTGAGCCAGCTTCTCCTGAAGGCTCCGTTTAAAGGCTGGCATAGCACAGGGCTGGAGGAGCCCAGCGTGCACCTGCCCTCTTCCAGTCCAGGTCTGAGCCCAGAGACAGGACACGGCAGCGGCGCTTTCTGCACAAGAGGCAGGAGGGCAGGATGGTTGTTATGAGCCTGACCTTAGCACCACACTTCCTGGCTTCAAATCCCAGCCGTGCTCCTTGCCGGCCGTGTGACTTTGCTTCCCCACGCCTGTTTCCTCACCTGTAAAAGAGGAGTGACGACACTACAGACTACACTGGGCTGTGATGAAGATGAAGGGGGCTATAGAACAGTGCTTGGCACCTGGCAACCGGGGAGCAGCTGGGGTGGGTCTGAGAAGCAGGACCAATATGACTGCCGGGTGCCATTTCTTGAGCAATGGCTATATGCCAGGTGCAAAGGTTTCCTTGCTTGGGAATAATGGCTGATACTTGATGAGCCCTGACTGTGTTATCCTTTGAGGAAGGAAGCATTGTATTTCTATCAAGCCCATTTTACAGCAGATGAAACTGAGGCACAGAAGGGGCTGAGCCACTTGCCCGAGGGCCCACCGTGGAGGGTCTGGGTTTCTAACCCAGGCAGGCCTGGCTGCAGAGCCCACACTCTTGATGCTACCCTGGCCCCAAGTCACCCCAAGTGGACATCTGCACAGCCACTTTGCAGGTGAGGAAACTGAGACACAGAGAGGTTCCAGCGACCTTCCCAAGCGCAGGGCCTGAGACCTTCCCCTAAGACTTCTTTGGGGTGTGGGTGGGGCTTCCTTCCCCTGCCTTTCACTCTGCCTGCCACCGGAGCTCCCCAGCGAGCCTGGTGTTATTTCTGGCAGCACTCATCTGTCCCCTGAAAAGTTCCAAGGAGCTGCGGACAAAGGCAGGAAGCCGGGAGCCCAGGCGTCTGATTCCTGATGTGCCAGAGGCTCCTTCAGCCCCCGGGCCCTGAATCCAACCGAGGCCCAGGTCACATTCCAGGGTGGCTCAGCCAGAGGCCAGCGGGGGCGAAGGAGGCTCTATTTTGGGGTCTGCGGTCTCTAGCCTTCCTCAAGGACACTCTCACTGTTCTGAGGCAGGGATGCAGGGCGTGACCCTCTCATCCCCAGCTGCTGCCCACACGGCTGATCGCTGCCTTCCCTTCCTCCTCTGTAAAATGGGGGTAACAAGAGTGCCCCCATCTCCAAGTTAGGAGAAAATGAGATCGGGGGCCTAAATTCCGGCCCCTGTGGGGTCTCCCAAGGGTCCACGCAACTCTGCCTCCCCAGGGTCCACACTACCACCCGCACAACTGTCAGTGACTCCCATACCCACACTTCTCCCCAGTACCCCACCTGGTGAAACTGCTAAGCTGTCCACAGGTATAAAAATCAACAACTCACCCTCAAAGACAAATTAGCTCTCTGGATTGATAGCAAGAATTAGCTAAAATAATGTTTGGCATTCCTTCTAATCCAGCAATTCCACTCTCACCTACTATTATCGTCATCATTCCCTGTTTTGTTTTGTTTTGTTGGGTTTTTTTTGGCAGTGCCATGCGGCCTGTGGGATCTTAGTTCCCTGACCAGGGATCGAACCTGTGCCCCCTGCAGTGGAACCACGGAATCCTAAACACTAGACTGCCAGGCAATTCCATCATCATTCCCATTTTAAAGACTGGGAAACTGGACTTCTCTGGCGGTCCAGTGGTTAAGACTGCGCTTCCACTGCAGGGGGCGCAGGTTTGATCCCTGGTTGGGGAACTAAGATCCTGCATGCCGTATGGTGTGGCCAAAAAGAAAAACAGCATAAAGATTGGGAAACTGAGGCAGAGAGCAGTTACTCAACTTGTTCTTATTCCTGGAGGCTGGGAGTTTCCATATGCTAAGCACCCAGGTACCCAGCCTCCCAGAATCCATGTATTCTGTGGCTGCCCTCATCTGCCCCAGAGAAAAGCACAGACTAGGAGGCCCCACAGGATGAGCCCAGCACATTGTCTGAAAGAGCAAAAACACTGGAAACAACTTGAGTCCCTCAATAGGGACAGGAATAAAAGGGAAAAAAGAAACCTGCACCTATTAATACTATGGAATACTACACAAAAAATCGAAAGAATGAATTAGATCTCCACATAGCAACATGGACGGATGTCAAAACGAAAATCTGGAGTGAAAACAGCAAAGGTACAGTCTGAAAACAACTCTGTACAGAGTTTCCAAAAAGCCTGACAACTTAGGAAAAATAATTTATTTCTCTATAAGGAAACTTATCTGTAGCCTTTTTCGTTTTCATTTTTCCAGGCAAATGATTGAATGTATGGTGTTAAGTTTCACCTGGAAAGGTGTCCAGAGGTTGAAGAAAAATATCGTGAACTCACTGTGTGGAAATTCAACTAACACATTGTTTAAAAATAAAAGGTTTCCAGAAAACTTCTGGAATTTTCAGACACTCTGATTTAAACACACACACACCACACTTCCACCGCCCTGTGTTATCTACGAGCTAATGTCTATGCATATAAGAATACTTTTTAAAACAGCTGGGAGGCTGAGGAGATATGACAACCAAAGGCAGTACCCTGGATGAGATCCTAGCACAGAAAGAAGACGTTAACGGAAAAACTGATGAAATTCAAATAAAGTCTGGAGTTTGGTTAATCGTAACAGACCAGTGTTGGTTTTTTTAGTTTTAATGACTGTACCATGATAATGTAAGAGGTTAACAATAGCAGAAACTGTGAGGGGTATTTGGGAACTCTTTGTACAACTTTTCTGTAAATATAAAACCAGTCTAAAATAAAAAATCTTTTTAAAAGATCTGGGAGGTTCCTCTCAAATTAATCAACAGTAGAGGTCCTGAATTGTTGGAAGAGTGGTTAGAAGGGCGTCAGTCTTATTTATAATGGGATAAGTGCTTAAGTCAAATGTATTCCTTGTGCAATTCTAATTAATTTTTAAAATATTTTATAAAAAGAAAAAGATCTATACTGCCATCTCCTTGATTTGAGATAGGTGAGTTTTACTTTTCTCCTAAATCGCAGATTCTCAATGGAGCAGGAGAACCTTGGGGACTAGGAAGCTGAGGCGTTTGGTTCTAGTTCTACTCTGCCCGAGTAGACCTCAGCAGAAGGGAGACCCCTTTGTGGGCCTGAGTTTCTCTGGCAAAGGGAAATACCGAGCCTACTCAGCCCCTGCATCCGGATCGGGGAATCCTGTGGAAGGTGGTTCCAGGGCCGGTAAGAGGGCATCGCTCAGGGCCTCTGCCTTCCCCAGCCTCAACTCTGCCGTCTGTGTAATGGGGGTGAGAGCAAGCCTGGGGGGTGACACCGAGTTGGTGCACGATCCAGACAGAGGCTGAAGAGCGGGAGGGGGCTTCTTCCACCGGGGGTCACACCGAGCATGTCCACGCACCCACTCTGCACCCGTGACTCTCGGTTCTCACCTGCAACCCCCTTGCAGGTCCCAGGCACCGCTATCTGGGCCAGGCCCGGGCTTCTCGCGCCCCGGCCGAGAGAGTGTGTGCGGTGGGTGAGCAGCCCTCTGGGACTCCTGTCCCTGCACCTTCCCGCGCGCGTCTCCCCAACTCTGAGCCCTCTTTAAGCCCTCTGGGCCTGGCCCCCTCGCCGGGGCGGGGGAGGGGCGCGGAAGCCCCTTCGGCCGGACACTTGGACTCCCACCTCCAGGCTCGCCCGGGGGGTGTAGGGGACGGTGGGAAGAGGATCCCCTCCTGCCCGGGGGACTGGAGTGGGGGCTCCGACGTGGGCCTGCCGCTGGCTCGGCGACCCCCTCGTTGCAGCCGGGGCGCGGGCCTGAGCGGAGACGACCCTTTGTCTGGCCGGGGGCGCCGCTGGCGGACCGGGGTGGGGGGAGCCGGGCGTAGGCCGGGCGGGGGGCACTCACCGCGTGCGCCGGCGGGTCAGCAGCAGCAGCAGTAGCAGCGCGGCCAGAAGCCCGAAGACCACGGCCCAGGACATGGCAGGCCCGGCGACCAGGCTGCGGCTGCGGAACGCCGGAGGCGGCCGGCCTGGCTTGGGGGCCACGGGGGCCACGGGGACCCAGTCCCAGAGCCGACCCCGCCCCCACGCCCCTCCCTCTCCCCCCGCCCACCCGCCTACGGGCGGGGGCAGGGCCTGCGATCCCTCCCAGGTCTTGAAGGGTGGGTGGGGTGGCTCTTGGAGACTCCGTTCGGCTCAGCTTCTACGGGACGGGCTCCGACCCCTGGCCCAGGAAAGGGTGGGAGGGATGTGCGTGGAAAATGTGGGTGCGGGGGACGGGAGGGATGGTGTAGGGGAAAGGGAAGGGATGTGCAGGGAGGGAGGGGTTACGCGGGGGTGTGGGGGAGGAATGGGGGATTTGGGGAAGAGGAAGGAAGGGAATATGGGGGGACGGAGGGGTGATGGGGATAGAGAAAGTGTGAGGATGAGAGGTCAAGCGGTGGCAGAGGAGGGATTGGGGGTGGGAGGGGACTGGAAGGGCCTTTCCTCCACATTCCACCTAAACAGTCTCCACCACTCTAGCCGCCCCCCGCCCCTCACCCATCCCATCCCCACCCCACCCCGGATGGGCTAGAGACCATTAGTTTTCTGTTCTGTTGGTCTGGGCGGAGTGGGGTTGTACCGCCCCCTATTTTACCTTCAATAACTACAGTGGAGGGGGCACAGGAGCTCAGAGCACGCCGCTCTGAGTCCCTCATCTGCAACTGCTGTAAGGGACGATAAGTGTACCTCACCCACGTGTACCTGCAGCACAGCAGGGGCTCAGAATATGGTGGACATTGTCACATTACCTGGTGCTTAGGCTGCTGGCCTCTGGTGCCAGTGGCTCTGCAAGAGACCACCCCTGGGCACTGGCGAGAACCTGGGCTCCCAGCTGGAAGCATCTGGACCTCACTCCACCCTCTCCACTCCCTACACACACCCCACCCCACTTACACCTGGGAAACCTTGGCCAGGGAACTTACCCTCTCTTAACCCGCTTCCTTATCTGGGGACAGAGGTTAGAGTTGTACTTTACCTTAGGGGGTTGCTGTGAAGAATTGATGAGAGCTTGTCAGTAGAGGGAAGTGCAAACTAGGAGTGCAGGGCACATGTGAGTTTTGTGAGGCAGTGAGCAGAGTGTGGAGCTGGGACCCAGAATGTCTGATTCTAATCCTTGGGCTGTTGCTCACTGCTGGGTGAATTGAGACAGGTTTCATTTCATCTTACCAATAGCCCCCAGGCTGAGCTGTTACTCCTCCCTGGTCTCCTGGCTTCTGCCCTCATCTCTCTGCAGTCCATTCTCCCCGCAGTTGTCAGAAGAATCCTGCTAGAACCTAAGTCAGATCCTCTACTGAATCCTGCTCAGAACCCTCCATGGCTCCACCTCACTCAGAGCACAGCCCAAGTCCTTACAAGGTCCTGTAAGGACTTGATCTGCCCCCTCCCACCTCTACCTCCCTGCCCTCATGTCCTCCCACTCTCCGCCTCACCCACTCTGCTCCAGCCACACTCATCTCTCACCCTGCCCCAAGTGTTCCAAACTCCCTCCCACCTCAGGGCCTTTGCACTTGCTATCCCCTCTGATTGGAACACTCTTCGCTCATATACTTGCACAGCTGGCTTTTATCATCACATCCCTCATCCCTCTGTCTCTGCTCAGTTGTCAACTGCTCAAAGAAGCCCTCCCTGACTGCCTGGTCTAAGGCAGTCACATCAGCCCTGTCTATTGCCTTGAACTGTTTTGGGGTTTGTTTTTTTTTTTTTTCCTTGACAGTACTTAACATTTCCTGCTATCATATTAGAGCTTCATTTATTTGTCTATTTAATGTCGGCTGTCAAGGCAGTTGGATGACCCTCATGTGGCCTCAGCAGACTGAGAAGAGCAAGAAGCAAAAGGAGTTTCTTGAATCTCTTGTTTATTTGTCCAGCTTGCCCACCAGCAAAGCTGACAATCCCAAAAAGGCCACAGAACAGGCCTGGAGGATTTTCTCCAAATTTGGGGAGCCCCACGGGGCAGCCTTCTGGCAGCGGGGCTCACAGTCCGGCTTGGCCAATACTAAACCATGGGACCTCAGGCAGTCTGCTCCACCTCCCTGAGCCTAGGCGCCTCATCGGTGAAATGGGGACGAAGTGAAGAGTAAATGACCTAATCCAGGTGATGCACTTGTCAGAGTGCCGGACGCACAGTGACCTTTAGTGGGGGTCAACTGCCATTAGCACTTAATTCCAATCCAGCCTCTCACCATATGTGTGATCAAGGCTTGGTCTCAGTTTTCTTATCTGAGAAATGGGGAGAACAGTTCCTTCCTCACAGGACAGTTGCACCCAGCATGGGGCCTGGCACACAGTAGGTGCTCAATAAATGTTAGCTCTCCAATCCCACACCCCTGGCTTGAGTGCAAACTAGCATCACCTCAGTCCAAGTCCCCCCCAAATAAAATGTCCCTCTTCCCCCCTCAGCCCACGGGCAAAATCCCACCCACCCCCCAGGGAAGGAGGCCAGCTGCTCACACAACAAAGAGGGAAGAAGGTTTTGGGGCCCCTGGCTTCTCCCTTGCTATCAGAATCTGATTTTGTTCACAAATCAAGCAGGTGTCTAGGAAGATGGCCCCACCCCCTTCCCACAGAATGAACCAGTGTTGGTCTGAGCCAGCCAGGGACATCCCTCTTTGC